CGTAATACGAGACTGACATATTACAAAGCGGAAAAAAAAAACAATCGGGCGTGGTATACGGTATACTATGAAGCCCATCAATGGCGGCTGACTTCCTCCAATATTTACGATAAAATGGGCTCTAAAACCTTAGGGGTAAGGATTGACCTCAAAAAGTTTATGTTTGTGAGGTATTAGTATCCGTATCAATTGATATCCACAGTCATTGCAGTATTTCATCAGTCATTTCGGCGCATTCTACTTACATTTCGGCAGAAACCCGACATTTCGGCGTTTCGTGTCACCCGTGATAGTTCATACGAAAAATATTGACTATTGAGATACGTGCAGGATGTATGAAAAGTCATTATCTTGAAATGCCAAGAATATGTGTATGAAGACCCACAGGAGGATACATACTTGATCATAAGATTAAAGATTTTGCCTTTTATTTTGAACACCACACGTGATTTGCAATGTATTAGACTACTTGTATACATGAAGTGTAGTCTTCCGAAATTGATATGCTTTATACATGTATGTATATAGAAATGTTATTAAATTACTTCACAGATTATCAACTTCTAGCGTACCTGCCAATCTTCTAAAGCCTTCCTTCACTCTTAATGCCATCTCTCCTGTTGGAAAAGTGATGAATCTCCTGCAGAGGATGTTGATAAGTGCAGATGCAACACACTTGACTGTCCTGTCTACAGATGACTCAGAAACTCCTAAGCTATCTCCTACCAGTCTGAGATGAGCTCCTGTTGCCACAAATCTTAAAAAAATTAGCACTTGGAGGAGAGCAGGAATGGGCTGGTTCCTATTTGTGTCTGATTCCAAAGTGTCATGAAGCTCAGCGGTAATGAACAGTACAGTTTGTGGACGGAATCTGTATCTCTGGTAAACTTCTTCTTCTTCCAAATCTTCTAAAGGATTTCCACGGTCCCTAAACACTCTTGGACATGGCAACAATCCTCGACGTCTACGATTTCTTCTGATTCTTCTGTGCACAGCAGCCATTTTGAGAAGTTGAGAATAGACTTAAGTAACCTTTTTTGTGTTCTCAAATATTTGAGCATAAAACTGATTCTGAGAATTTTTTTGTTACTCATCTTTTTTATGGCGGCGGTTGAGTCTGAGAATTGAGGAGTTGAGAAAATTCTCAGACTTGAGAACATTCTCAGACTTAAGTATGTTTTATGGCGGTGGGGCCTGGACCACTTGGTCAAGTGTTCTGGTGTTGAACAGGGCTGTATTACTTTGTAAGTTATTTTCCTCTGCTATACACCTAGCAACATATGTTCATGTTTTAGTTTATTTTGTTTTATTTTATACTGCTATGGATCTAAACAGTGTTGTATTATACTCAAGTGACCATTAAGGTCCTTGGGCCTCTTGTTTAGAAAACAATGCATTATTTCTTTGAAATCTTCTCTGCTCAAGGCATCTAGGAGACAGAGTACAAATGAGTATAACAATGAGCAAGGTTTTGTTCTTTTACTAGATTTGTAAAATTTTTGACCACTTGGTCAAGTGTTCTAGTGCTAGATAGGGTTGACTTGTAATCTACTGAGAGAAGCTATTCTCCTTTGCTATTTGCCTATGATAATTTATCACTGTAAATTATGTAATTGAAAGATCATTTGAATAAGAGAATTTTTATCATATAATACAAGTACTTTCATAGTTTTTAATGGTGAGGAAGACTTGTAAATAATGGATAATTAAAAAATGAGACAAAAAGGCTCTATCTTTGTACATGAAATGTTCTTCAAAGACAAAGAGAAGCCAATTTGAACCTGATCATAACTATGCTCTTAGTTTATCTGCTTTTTATACAGGGGGAGAGAAGATTTTTAAAGAACTAATGCATTTTCAATATATGATCAACAGAGCCCCACCCTTAATCCAGAACCCCTAACCTTGTTTTCATGAATTTTAAAATTTTGGTAAAGGTCTCATTGCTTGTTGTAATCATGCTTACAGTTTGACTGCTTGATATCAAGGAGTAAAGGAAAACGATTTTTGAGAATTTCATTAATTTTCATGGTTTTGGCCACATCCCTCAGGCCCAAAGGCGCAGGTAGCATTATATTCACAATCCCCCCCCCCCCCCCCCCCCTTTTTGCCTACAGATGATCTATACCAAAATTGAGTGATATTGGTTTACATGTAGCCATTTATGAGTAGAAGTTAAAAATATTCAAAAGTGTACAACCGACAAACAATGATGGACAGAAACAGAAAGCAAAAGGTCGCCTGAGTGACTCAGGTGGCCTAATTGATCTAAGCAAACTACAACTATCAATAATGTAAGCTACCCAAGGGGTGGCATTTCTGAATCCTCAGCATGTATACAGGTCATTGCTTCATCATCTAAATAAATCATCTGTTTACCAGGATGCACCAATTTAATTTGCTCTCATGTAAAATAGACCAGGCTCCTCTCTTTGTAGATACTTGGTGGAATAATACTTAAGATGAATGATCAGTCATACTTATCATTTATTGTACGTACAGCATCTCATTACCATAACAATATAGGCAGTACACAGATAACAAAAAAAGAAAACATAGCTGATTCTTCAGAAACACAAGTTTAGGTTGTCCAGTGTGGTAGATTTCTAACTAGGCTAATTACGTGTAATTTACATTATAAGTATCTCATCGTCTTTGATTTCTTCGTCATCTTTTTAAATGTTGCTGCCGTACAACTAGCTGAAATCTGTCGTAACGTAGTACGCGCTTGCTTATATAACCTCCTTTCCCCTGTCACATGACACAAATTATCCAATGAAAATATGCCGTACGAACTATCAACCAATCAACAGCTTGTACGGGAAGCTGAGTACCCACACAAGTTCCCACACAGAACTACTTTTGCCACACAAGCTATCGTACAATATCGTAACAAGATAAGCTGACATATTATTTTCACTAAAATCGTGAACGAACTTTTCTGTCAGGCACATGATGAACATAGATTTAACAAGTATGAAAACTGGACGACCGCACAATATTACGTATAAAATAAAGTGATATATTACAATATATTACAATAATAAGGTTTGTTTCTGGGTACTGTATACTAATTAGTACAAGAGACCCTTGGGCCACAATGCTCATGTGAATCTCCCCTCTGTTTTTCATCACCAGATTCTTTTTCCTTCATATTCTTATGTAAAACTTTGATCACTTATTATGACCCCATCCTACCCCAGGGGGTCATGATTTGAACAAATATGAATCTAACTAATTATGGATGCGCCAATATAAATATGACTGAGCATTGATTTGCTGTTCTTGAGAAGAGGACTTATAAAGATTTTTCCCATGTATTCCTATGTAAAACTTTAATTGCCCATTGTGGCCCTGTCCTATTCCCGAGGTCATGATTTGAGTAAATTTAAATCTACACTACCTTCAGATGCTGCATATAAATATAACTAATTAATGGTTTTCGTGTTCCAGGGAAAAAGATTTTAAAGACTCTCCTATATATTCCTATATTAAACTTTGATCTCCCATTTCTGTCCCATCCTACACCTCGGGGTCATGATTTGAACAAACTTCATTCTACACGATCTGAGGATGATTACACATAAATATGACTGATCATGGCATTGCTGTTCTTGAGAAGAACATTTACGAAGATATTTTCTTTATACTTCTTTGTATAATAAATATGACTGATCATGGCTCTGCTGTTCTTGAGAAGAACATTTAATATGAAGATATTTCGTTTATATTTCTTTCTATAACTTTTGATCCCCTATTTTGGCCCTACCTTCACCCATCTACACAACCTAAGGATGATTCCACATAAATATGACTGATCATGGCTCTGATGTTCTTGAGAAGATTTTTAAATATTTCAGATATATTCCTATGTAAAACTTTGAACCCCTGTTGTCGCACCACCCCAACTCCAGTGATAATGATTTGAACAAACTTGAATCTAACTAATAATGTGTTTGCTGTTCTTGAGAAGACTTTTAAAGATATTTCCAATATATTTCAATGTAAGCTTTGAGCCCTGCTGTAGCCCCGCCCTACCCCCGGTGGCCATGATTTGAACAAATCTATACTACCTGAGGATGCTTCTGTATTAATATGACTAATAATGGCTTAGCTGTTCTTGGGAAGGTATTAAAGATACATTGTATTTCCGATATATTCCTTTGGAGAACTTTGACCCCCCTGTTGTGGCCCCACCTTACCCCTGGGGGTCATGATTTGAACAAACTAAAATCTACCCTATCTGAGGATGTTTCTACATGTATATTAATATGGCTAATAAGGGATTTTTTTCTGTTTTTGAGAAGATTTCTAAAGATACTTCCTACATATTCCTATGAAAGACTTTGACACCCTGCTGTGGCCCCAGCCTACCCCCTGGGTCATGATATGAACCAATTTGAATTTACATTATGTAATGAAACTTTCAAATAATAAATTACATCTTTTCTGGCCCAGTGATTCTTGAGAAGAAGATTTTTAGATGATGCCACCAAATTTTTACAAATTCTCTATTATCTCCCCTTGAAAAAGGATGTGGCATTTCCTGTGAACAAATTTGAATTCTCTTTACCCAAGGACGCTTTGTGGCAAATTTGGTTGAAATGGCCCAGTGGTTCTGGAGAAGAAATCAAAAATGTGAAAAGTTTACAGACAACACAAGACACAGTACAGACAACGTACACCGGAAGATCTAAGATCAGAAAAGCTCACGTGAGCCTTCGGCTCAGGTGAGCTAATAATTAAGCTACATCTCTGCTTATATGGATACCACCACTGTTTTACACATTCATCACAAAACATTTTGCATGTACATTGGTTTTGGAGAATAAAAGTGAAGTAAAAATCATTTTTATTCTTTGTCAGTAATATCATTCTGTGAATTGTTTAAATTTCAACATATAATTTCCTTAAATTTGAAATTGGGAAAAATTGATTGATAATTGGGGAAAAAATGCTAATTTTTGTGAGTAAAAACAGCTAAATATCTGTGGCATTTTGGTAAATAAAAAACACTAAAATACAAGATATTTAATTTTCTTAACACTTCCTCTCCACTCTGCAACAAACAAATTGTTATTTTTGTCCACACATAAACCATATGGATTCTTCATGTCACAGTTACTTATGTAATGGAGGAACACTCCATCCTGGTCTAGGATGTGGATACAGTGGTTAAAATGGTCTGCCGTCAGGATCTGACTCTGGCTGTCAGTTGTGATGCCATAAGGTTCAAATGGTTTGTTCTTTGTAGCAGAAGGATGACCAGTGTATTTAAATCTAAATTTTCCAGTCTGGTTGACTACCACTAGAGCACCAGCTCCTAAGTCAGCTACACAAATATCAAAATTTCTGTTCTCATCAATGTACTTCGTTTCATAATTACCAGAATACAGAGGCTTACCCTCATGATCAAACTGGATTGTTTGTTTCTCTGTGGAGCCTGAGTAACGGACAACCTTGGATTGTGTTTCATCATTGCTACACATGGTAATGAGGAGATCACTGGAGGAGGTGACACATAGTTGTGTAGGTACCCAGCCCTGTAGTCTGATAACCTCCTCTGTCTGTCCATTCTTCACTTTATTCACAGTCCTTGTTTTCCAGTCAGAGTACACTAGATCCCCAGCACCTGTCACCGCTATATCATTTGGCATTTCCCCTGATTTTGTTTTAATTGATTTGATAAGTGAACCGTGTATATTAAAGCATTTCATATCACTGACTTCATATGCATTTGTCCAGATTTCCTCTTCACTGACACAGGAAACACTTTGCAGTGTTTTATATCCAGTATCTATGGCAGTGATAAGTTCTGGTTCTTCCAGCAGCTTTCCGGTTGGTGTCTCTGGTTTCTTCAGTATATAGCTATTTTTTTCTGTTGTGCTAGACAATGCTTCAAGAGACCCAAACAAGTCATAAAGCAGTCCTCTATTTATTGGCTTTGAAATAAACATGGGCAGTGATACCTGAAGTTCGAGAGGGAATTTGCTGAATTCTTTGTTTCTTGAGCTGTACTCTATGGTCATAGACACTTCATTTGATCCTTCAATTTTATTCAAGTTTAGCAGACTTTCTTCAACAAGAGATTGTATTTGTTTGATTTCTACATCATATGTCTTCAGAATATCAAGGTGTTTTGTTTTAAAATCATTAATTTCTTTTTTCATTGCACTAATGACATTGTCAATTTCTCTGTGCCATTGTTCTCCATGTTCTGTCACTGCTGTTGTAAGTTTATTATACTCTCCATCCAGGTTAGCTATCTGAGTTTCAATGCCTTTTGCAATTTCTTTATATGCTGGAGAGATAATGTTTTGTAATTCCATTGTATCTTTTGCAATGACATTTTTCTTTGCATTGTAAATTTCAAAGAGGACTAAAATACTGTGCCCTTTATGTTGTTGTGATGCGGAGCATAAAGAACAAACAGGAATGTTGCATTCCCTGCATTGTAAATCACAGGTTTTTGTTGGATGTGTTGCACACTTTGGATAGATCAAGGTTGACTTTCTTTGCTGGTATGGGACAATTTTATGTTTGTCATATTCATCAGCAATGTGTTCTCCAATACAGGGTTTACAAAGGCTGACATGACAGAAATCACAGTACATCTGTACTTTAGCTGTCTCACATAGGTCACATCTTATCACATCCTGGGCACTGTGGCGGGGATCCATGGTTACTTAGTTCTATTAGTAAAGAGAATTGTATTGACATTGAAATTCATTAACTATTCAGCATTGTGAAGTTTATTGTAGTAATCTAACACAGTAAGTCATTAATTATATATGTACAAATGTATAGTATTCTGTATATACATTTATCACATTTTAAAAAAAATAATGTCTGAATATACATGTATTTCATTGAATAATGATTGTTAGATTATGGAATGAACTGAATTTTCAACTCATATTTATTCTTTAATGCTTTGTGGCAAAACCTTTCGAGTGTTTTCGTACAAACTGAAAGTAAATTTGAAAAAATAAATAAATAAATAAAAAGATTTTCCGATTAATAAATACTACCTTTTACATGTAGTAGGAAAACTTCCTTCAAAATGGAGGATGTCAGCTGTTGATTGGAATCTGTTTCACATCCTCACCAGAAGATACATCAAGTCGTGTTGAATCATGTGACTCCTATTCAGTTCCGAAAATTAGAGTTATCTCTCTTGCATCCTCTTCTTGAAGACGATATTGCTATTTGCAATGGCGTGAAGTCACCTTTCAAAAGTTAAATTTATCGCTTATATCTAATTATGAAGAACAAACCCGAGCAATTTTTTTTTCACAGCAACTTGTTCTGGTATTCGGACAATGTTGTAATATTTAAGCCTTCGTCATTATACTTCCTTTAAAATAAATAGATAATGAATATAATCCCCAGTTATTTTTATGACAAAATGCACTTCTTTGTAAAAACGGAAATCAACATAATTTAAACAAGTCATGTATCAAATTCTCGCCGTGTTTTTTTTATTTTATGAATTATTTAAGAAATGACTTCACGCCATATTGTTTGCATATGTTTTTTTTTTATAAGCAAGGTGACTTCAAGCCAGTTGCACCATACACACCGATACATGAAGATTGCACTATAGTATTAAATTTTGCTATATATTCTTACCAAGAATGCGCAACTTAGAGTAGGTGGTCATAATTAAAACAAACTTTTGAGAGATTTCCTTTTCACATCTTGTTAGATTATTCTTTATAAAGATTTTAGTACCAAAAAATACATAGCTATCCAGCAAGGCACGCAAATTTATTTCGGTCGAAGTCGAGCTAGTGCTTGAAAATCAAATGCAGGACCTAATAACTCACACGCAAACGCAGTATAAAAAAATAATCAGCACGCCATATATTATAATGAGTCGGATCAAACCAGGAAGTTTACATATAATTTTTCATCTCATAAAAAAATTCAGCTCAAGTCTCATGCAAAAATGCCCGAACCGGGAGGGGAGATTCAGGAATTATTTTGCGTCAGCCATGTTTTGACGTGAACCTAAAATGAAATTACACCTCAACTGATATACGGTAATGAAACCAACATATCTAGCGAGGTGACTTCACGCCATTGCACGTTTATATGAATATCTAGGCAGGGGACTTCACGCCATTGCACGTTTATATGAATATCTAGGCAGGGGACTTCACGCCATTGCATTTAAATATGAATATAGCAAGGTGACTACACGCCATTGCACGTTTATATGCATATTTAGCAAGGTGACTTCACGCCATTGCATTTAAATATGAAATTCTAGGAAGGTGAGTTCACGCCATTGCATTTAAATATGAATATCTAGCAATTGGACTTCACGCCATTGCACTTTTATTTGAATATCTAGCAAGGGTACTTCACGCCATTGCACGTTTATATGAATATCTAGGCAGGGGACTTCACGCCATTGCACATTTATATGCATATTTAGCAAGGAGACTTCATGCCATTGCATTGAAATATGAATATCTAGCGAGGTGACTTCATGCCATTGCACGTTTATATGAATATCTAGGCAGGGGACTTCACGCCATTGCACATTTATATGCATATCTAGCAAGGAGACTTCATGCCATTTCATTGAAATATGAATATCTAGCCAGGTGACTTCACGCCATTGCACGTTTATATGAATATCTAGGCAGGGGACTTCACGCCATTGCACGTTTATATGAATATCTAGGCAGGGGACTTCACGCCATTGCATTTAAATATGAATATAGCAAGGTGACTACACGCCATTGCACGTTTATATGCATATTTAGCAAGGTGACTTCACGCCATTGCATTTAAATATGAAATTCTAGGAAGGTGAGTTCACGCCATTGCATTTAAATATGAATATCTAGCAATTGGACTTCACGCCATTGCACTTTTATTTGAATATCTAGCAAGGGTACTTCACGCCATTGCACGTTTATATGAATATCTAGGCAGGGGACTTCACGCCATTGCACATTTATATGCATATTTAGCAAGGAGACTTCATGCCATTGCATTGAAATATGAATATCTAGCGAGGTGACTTCATGCCATTGCACGTTTATATGAATATCTAGGCAGGGGACTTCACGCCATTGCACATTTATATGCATATCTAGCAAGGAGACTTCATGCCATTTCATTGAAATATGAATATCTAGCCAGGTGACTTCACGCCATTGCACGTTTATATGAATATCTAGGCAGGGGACTTCACGCCATTGCACGTTTATATGAATATCTAGGCAGGGGACTTCACGCCATTGCACGTTTATATGAATATCTAGGCAGGGGACTTCACGCCATTGCACGTTTATATGAATATCTAGGCAGGGGACTTCACGCCATTGCACATTTATATGCATATCTAGCAAGTAAACTTCATGCCATTGCATTGAAATATGAATATCTAGGCAGGGGACTTCACGCCATTGCACGTTCATATGAATATCTAGGCAGGGGACTTCACGCTATTGCACGTTTATATGAATATCTAGGCAGGGGACTTCACGCCATTGCACGTTTATATGAATATCTAGGCAGGGGACTTCACGCCATTGCACGTTTATATGCATATCTAGCAATTGGACTTAACGCCATTGCACATTTATATGTATATCTAGCAAGGGGATTTAACGACATTGCATTTACATATGAATATATAGCAAGAAGACTTCACGCCATTGCAATTAAATATTAATATCTAGCACGGAGACTTCACGCCATTGCACGTTTATATACATATCTAGTGAGGTGACTTCACGCCATTGCAATTAAAATGAATATCTAGCAAGGGGATTCACGCCATTGCATTTTAATATGAATATCTAGCAAGGGGACTTCACGCCATTGCATTGAAATATGAAGATCTAGCAAGATGACTTCACGCCATTGCACGTTTATATGCATATCTAGCATGGTGACTTCACGCTATTGCATTTAAATATGAATATAGCAAGGTGACTACACGCCATTGCACGTTTATATACATATCTAGTGAGGTGACTTCACGCCATTGCCATTAAAATGAATATCTAGCAAGGGGACTTCACGCCATTGCATTTTAATATGAATATCTAGCAAGGGGACTTCACGCCATTGCATTGAAATATGAAGATCTAGAAAGATGTCTTCACGCCATTGCACGTTTATATGCATATTTAGCAAGGTGACTTCACGCCATTGCATTTAAATATGAAATTCTAGGAAGGTGAGTTCACGCCATTGCATTTAAATATGAATATCTAGCAATTGGACTTCACGCCATTGCACTTTTATTTGAATATCTAGCAAGGGTACTTCACGCCATTGCACGTTTATATGAATATCTAGGCAGGGGACTTCACGCCATTGCACATTTATATGCATATTTAGCAAGGAGACTTCATGCCATTGCATTGAAATATGAATATCTAGCGAGGTGACTTCATGCCATTGCACGTTTATATGAATATCTAGGCAGGGGACTTCACGCCATTGCACATTTATATGCATATCTAGCAAGGAGACTTCATGCCATTGCATTGAAATATGAATATCTAGCCAGGTGACTTCACGCCATTGCACGTTTATATGAATATCTAGGCAGGGGACTTCACGCCATTGCACGTTTATATGAATATCTAGGCAGGGGACTTCACGCCATTGCACGTTTATATGAATATCTAGGCAGGGGACTTCACGCCATTGCGCATTTATATGCATATCTAGCAAGTAAACTTCATGCCATTGCATTGAAATATGAATATCTAGGCAGGGGACTTCACGCCATTGCACGTTTATATGAATATCTAGGCAGGGGACTTCACGCCATTGCACGTTTATATGAATATCTAGGCAGGGGACTTCACGCCATTGCACGTTTATATGAATATCTAGGCAGGGGACTTCACGCCATTGCACGTTTATATGAATATCTAGGCAGGGGACTTCACGCCATTGCACATTTATATGCATATCTAGCAAGGAGACTTCATGCCATTGCATTGAAATATGAATATCTAGCCAGGTGACTTCACGCCATTGCACGTTTATATGAATATCTAGGCAGGGGACTTCATGCCATTGCACGTTTATATGAATATCTAGGCAGGGGACTTCACGCCATTGCGCATTTATATGCATATCTAGCAAGTAAACTTCATGCCATTGCATTGAAATATGAATATCTAGGCAGGGGACTTCACGCCATTGCACGTTTATATGAATATCTAGGCAGGGGACTTCACGCCATTGCACGTTTATATGAATATCTAGGCAGGGGACTTCACGCCATTGCACGTTTATATGAATATCTAGGCAGGGGACTTCACGCCATTGCACGTTTATATGCATATCTAGCAATTGGACTTAACGCCATTGCACATTTATATGTATATCTAGCAAGGGGATTTAACGACATTGCATTTAATTATGAATATCTAGCAAGGTGACTTCATGCCATTGCTTTTAAATATGAATATCTTGCAAGGAGACTTCACATCATTGCACGTTTATATGCATATCTAGCAAGGGGACTTCATGCCATTGCGTGATTTTATGAGTTCCGGGCTGTCTAGCTGTCTGTCCTTCCTTTATTCTGTCTTTCTGTCTTTTACACTTTTGTTTCCGCGCGATCTCCAAATATGTTTTTGAAATTTTTCAATGAAAAGGACAAGATAGGCCCCTTTTTGGCCCCTGGTTTGAGGTGTCTTTTAGAATGATGCAACAGTTTATCATTAAAAACCTGTTGTCACCCCTGCCACAAAATGAGTGTTGGTTCTAAGTTATTGGATAGACAGAGGACACAGGAAGGTAAGAAAATATGCCAATTTCCGAATTTTCTCAATTTTATGCAAATTTTCATCGATTTTACAGCACATTTTGTTTCAGAAAACATAGAGCACAAGCTTGCCTATCTACCAAATTTATATATTTCATGGCCCCGCTCGCCCCTCTCAAGTGCCCCCCCCCCCTTTTCATTTTTTTTCCAAAAGTAAATTGGAAAAATTGTTGGCATCGATCACACTCAAAGTTTCAGAGTTACTTCCCGTTTGTATTTAAAGTAGCATGTGGAGAGTTATTACATATAATACAGGTTGTCGACAGAGTTTATACTCTAATTACTCTATTAGAACTGTTTAGTAA